TATATTGTGACCGTACTTTTGGGGAAACGGCACAACTTCGTCACTTCATCCGCTGCTCTTTTACGCGATAGCTCAAAAAGGTGGACACAATGATATAATTAGCAAAAGTGCGGTTCTTCCTTAAACTTTATATGCTACGATATTCGAGCCGTACTAATTTTCGTTGGGCGCTAGGCACGAGAGAGTGTGCCACTCTTCGCACTAAAAGTTAAGATGTTACGCTCGGACAAAGAAATTATAGAGCAACGGAATTCGCGACGGACAGGCTCAGCTAGCTCAGCCAACGAAATTGGCAGAGGGGGTGGTTCGCGATAAGCGGGGAACAATGTCGGAGAACAAGGTAGAGACAGACAGAAATAATCAGACAGAACTTAATATGAAAAATAACAAAGAGTTTCCACTTTATTCAATACGCGTCGATACATGAGTTGCCATAATCTACAGAATTCCGCGGTCGCGCGTCGACGACAAGTTTACTTTATTACAGAAGAGACGATATCAAGGTCGTCGTCGACGGTACTCAGAAATGTCCGACTCTCGGAAATAAGTAACACAATAGTCGCAAAAAGACATAAAAATAATTAATAATGTTGCACATTCGCCTGTGCGCTCGCCCGTTGACCCTGAAGGACCCAGGATTTCGCGTTATGCCGTTTTTCTGGGTGACTGACAAAATGTCACGTCACAACTCCCCCCTCCTTAAAACAGACCGAGGAGTTCTCGACGAGCGTCATCTGCCACCATAGTACTCGCCTCATGCTCACCGCCTTTATTTCTTCAACATTATCAACGTTAATTAATTTAATCGAAAAGAAAAAGAACAGGAAACCAGAAAAAAAAACGGATTCACAACCACAAATTCGCTCCCTCTCCCGCCGGAATACCCGGGCCCTGGGCCCCAGCGGAAGAGTAGCAACCTAAATAACAGTTAAAACAACACGAGACTCTGTTACCTCGTACAATATAAGACGAGCCAATACGAGAACACGTTACCTCGCACAACCCAAGACGAAACCATACGAGAACACGTTACCTTGTACAATACAAGACGAAAGAATACGAGAACACGTTACCTTGTATAGCACAAGACGAAAGAATACGAGAACACGTTACCTTGTATAACACAAGACGAAAGAATACCAGAACACGTTACCTTGTATAGCACAAGACGAAAGAATACGAGAACACGTTACCTTGTATAGCACAAGACGAAAGAATACCAGAACACGTTACCTTGTATAGCACAAGACGAAAGAATACAAGAACACGTTACCTCGTACAATACAAGACTATACGATACGAGACGATACAAGACGATACAAAACGAGACAATACAAGACGATACAAACGAGACAGAATAACGCAAAGCAATACCAGACTTCGCCGCTACAGGAAGGCACGCGGCTGAGTCGCCACCCCCCAGACCGACAGAATGAGAGAAAAAGAAAGAGGTCCGACAGCCTAAGGGAAGGGCAAAGGAAGGAATCATTGAGGACATCTAACCTGATTCATCTAATCCGGGGCGATATACGGCCTCAAGTCCCTCACGTGAACCTTTCCTGCAGCAGTTCTATCCAGAGCGACAAGCTCATACACTACAGACGACACAACACGAATAATTCTAAAAGGTCCCCGAAATCTCGGCGCCAACCTCGCAGCCATCCCCCGAGCCGCAGACGACAGTGCGTTCCGACATCTCCACCCCAAGTCGCCAACACTAAAAACATGATTCCGCCTATGACGATTATAAACGGCCTGCCTCTGATACCAGGGATCCTCTGTGCCTCCCCCTCGATATTCCGAGTTAACATGGCACCTAACCCGACAGAACTAGCATTTGTTTGTATGACGAATGGAACGTCAAGATTCGGACACGATAAAGTAGGAGCGACCGCTAAACGAGCGCGAATTTCCTCGAACGCCTTTTCCTGCTCCATCCCTCACTCCCAGCGCTGATTCTTTTTCAACAATCTAGTTAACGGCTCACTCGCGGTGGCCAACTGTGGGATAAATCTACGATACCAGGAAGATATTCCCAAGAACCGACGCAATTGTTTAAGATTACGCGGCACTGGATATTCCAGAATAGGTCGCGCCTTTTCGGAATCGACGGCAAGGCCGTTCCTCT